ATCTCTCAATATGTGTAATCAGTATACCGTGCAGCGCTAAATCTTGAGTGGAAACGGTTTTTAAGAGCGTATTCTATAGTCAAAAAATGATTTATTAATGTTCATAATTTCTCTTCGTTTTTAAAAGCACGAATTATTAAATAGCCTAGCTTTACCGACAGGATTTTTTTTTACCGGATTTTTTGTGTGGAGTGTTGTTAATAATTTTACTTTCATAGGGGATACTTCATCATTATTTTGTTGTATGGAATACTATAATATTGTTAGTTTCATTTTAGTTTTATTGGGAACTAAAAGTAAAGACTATAATAACCGCGTGACAAAAAAAAACAAAAAACGTAAGCAAGATTCACTCGAATAATTCAAATTGATCGGTACAATTTCTATTGTTCAATAGTATATTATGATGAATAGTTCAAAACCTACTAGCATAGGCTATTATCATAAGTCACCCGTATTCAACGTTTCCAAGTTTCCTCAGGGACGGTGATTATCATACATTCTCTATAGCATAATACACATTAGAGTTAAAATATATCAACTATTCTTGAATTTATAGAATCATTAATCTTCCTGTTGACGCAGTATGCAGTTTCTTGAGATTACTATCAGTTATCTTTTTGGTAAGAGTTGGAGCCGAGTTTACAGTATATAATGGATAATAATTAAGATTTTTATAGCTAGCGCTCATATCCATTTCAAAGGAATAATCAAGGCGCTTGAGATAAAAGGAAACAGCAGTAAACTAGTTTGTCTGAAAACATTATCAAAATTAAACTATTATAACAAAATTCTAAAGAAACCAAGAAAACCGATTGGAAGCCGAGGAGCCAGATACATATTGCCAGCCTAATGTTTATTTTCAGTACAAAATTTTGGCGGCGCAATTGGGACGAGACAGGGGCTTGCTTAAGGCTCGTTTCCTGATCTGATAGTCCTATCCCCTCACTCCCGTCGGTCACGATAAAAACAATAACAACATTAATAATAATAATTATTATTATTTTTCATTATTGTATATTTTATTCACATTTAATTTATGAATGAACTCCTGTCAGATTTAAAATCAAGCTACGTTAACATCTTGAAAGTTGACATCAGCTATCAGTCATCTAAATCATACTCAAACATCCGTAACACATAATGAAAAATGAGTCACTATGTTCACCAATTTTGAAGTTTATTACAATACAAAGATAAAAGGTAAGTATTACGTCAAAAAGTCAAACAATTACAATACTATCATCAGCTGAATAAAGTTTGAAACTTCCTAATACACACTTTGGTCATAAATAATAATATAATAAACAATTGTTCACATATTGCGATAACATCTCCATGCCTATTAACATGTGAGCTGATGTCATAATTAATTTTCGTCAGCTTCAAATGCTGGTTCAAATGAAACAACCACGTCTTATCCGATTGGTTGTTTTCAGACTACAACATGTAACTACATTAATAACTTACGCAATATCACACTTGAAATTAGCCTTATAAAGACAATCAAATATTATTTGACAAAAACATGTGACATACCTAAATATGGTCATGATGACATCACATTGGATTGGATTTATTCGGTGTAACACCAAGAATAACACAGGGAAGTCTGAAGAAGACATATTTCCAGGGGTGTCCTTCTGGTGGTGATTGGAAAGTACACCGGAAGACAATCCCCTACTCTTTTCGTAAGAGTGTACTGCATTCTTTAACATGCACATGGACCATAATGCACATGCGACCAATGGCTTAAACGTCTCATCCGAGAGACGACGGATATCGTAACTTGCATTTCAGCCCTCCAGCTAAAATACAAGGAGAGCAGCAAATGGGAATTGAACAAGGGACGAAGAGATCTCCACGGTTCAGCGCACACACAGTGGCTACCACTAGTTTAATACCCGACTGAGATAAGCACACCATGACTTTATACATGGGCATACACAAGGACAACAGGTACGGCCAATACTGTGTCAGTGGTCAGCGTTAGGGTTTATTAAACTCATCACTAGCTTTAGTGTTTCTGCTATATACATGACCATATATAGGTGCATCATGACTATAATATATGGGCATACAATAGTTTTTTATCAAAGATAGTGTGATAGTTTCGTCTGAGCTTTGCAGCACTATGGCTATTCTTGTTAAGTATGAAAAAGTGCAGTGATAAAGTTCTTCGTATAATGCCAAGTAAAGAATCATATATCTCGTAATATCTCCTAAGATGATACTTCAATTAACAATTGCGTTAATCTTCTTACAAATCTTGACATACAAACTGTACAAATTTTCCATGGAGACTTAGTGTGTGATATTGCAACTTTTATGAGAAGCATATGCAATATTTGCAATACAATACTAGATACATTAGACTATTTAAAATAAGAACATTTTCATTGATCTATAACAGCATATAAATAAATTTGCTACGTAATAGGGTTACCCTACGTAATGCATAATTAGTTACTATAGTAACACAATGACTATTTTAATTTAAATGACTCTTAATTGTTTTTGTTTCAATATTTGCATGAATTTATAAACTTTTGTTTAACCTCAAATTGAATACACACATTATACTCACAAATCTCTTCAATGTTAATAACATCCAACAAAGTACAAATATAGAAATTGCATTTTGCTAACTAATGCAAGGCGCTGGTAATGTTATTTAAATTTACCCTGGTCATTTGATCCCCAAAAATAGGCTAACTGGCACACCAGTATACAGTGAACCTTCTCCGTTTTCTGGGGTGGGAAGTAAATGTAGTCACGCTGGATTACCCACAATGCATTTAATGTCACAACATCCTACCTGGTACCCTATACACCTGGGTGGAGAGACACTATCATAGGTAGAGCCTTTAACCAAGGAAAAAAGCAAAATGTGCAACAGAATACCAATTCTATTTCCAGATCTTTCTGCATATCACATTGTTTTTTAAGAAGTCTAAAGGATGGCAAAACAAGTACACACTACAAACAATTAAAAACAAGCTCAAAACATAAACCTATCATTCAATGATATTGAGTTACGTTTATTTGTTTTTTTTATGTTATTCACACAATAATCAGTGCATCTGTTAGTTTAGCTTGATTGCCTGCATATTAGCGTATACAATACAGTATAAACAACACTGTCCATTTAAGCCAGGTCTTATTACTTTTCTGATGTTTTTACAGCACACACTTAATTGAACATTCTGAATATAAACATAGAATGCAACACACAGTATCATGGAAAGTAATCACACAAACGATGGTCATTCCCATGCATAATGAAAACTTCAATTTGAGTTCTTAAATGGCTCTCTTCCAAAAAAATAATTCTTTTCCATTAAGCAAAAATAATGCATAATAATGAGAGCGACCCCTGACATGAACAGGCATGTGAAAGTTGCAAGTCCATCCCTGGCTAAAGTGGCATTTTTTTTAGTTACCGATAATCATGATGATACAAAATTTTAAAAAAAAACATAAGCATTATACAGTAAACTCATCGTCGTCACGCATTATGAGTGTTGCACGGTTTATGTACGGTTCCTAGTGCACATTAAGAGGCACAATAAAAAACCCTAGTGTCATACAATGATGAAAACATACAAATAAATTCAACAGGGATTATCATGATTTTAAATGTGGTCAGAATGATAGAGAAGCATGAACTGTATCTGGCTCAATATGATGACAAATGCATCCACTCTACATACCTTTTTTTTTCCACTTTAGAAGATATCCTAATAATATTTCAAAATGTTAAATTCAAAACATGAGAGTCTCTATATAATTATACAGATTAAAATTATATTATACATAAAAAAAAAACCTAATGTTTGATATAACTATTAAACCAAACAAAGGATGTTAAAACTGGGCACCAACCTATAGCATATGAAAAGAAATAGCAAAATTGTAGAGTAGCATTAGTAGACTAGTTGTCTTTTTGGAAGCGTCCAGGGTGCAGGGTTCTCTTTTCAAGTGGTGGGCAGGAAAAGGGTAGGGGCATGGGTAGGGGACTGCTTTATGTTCTATCACAATTATGCCATACATTTACATATCACACCCTATAAGAAATAATAATCAGAAAGAAGAATATTTACATTCACATTGTTTCATGTCAAAATACAAAGCTATTACATACAATACTATATTATCAACAACAACAGAAACAACATTTTGTGGCAAAGACAAGCCAAACCAGTCACTCGTCGCAAATCGTGTTTCAGAGAAAATGGCCAAAACATGCTGGAATGTCAAATTTTAAAAAATCTATTTTATTGCATTAAACTAACCTTTATATATCTACACATCATTCTATACTTTTATTTTCCCCATTTTCAATGTTAAAACAATCCTTTTTAAGGATTTAAAGATAGTTTCTGCATGAGAAATGCCTGAAATCATAAACTTTGACGGTTAATTTCTCATAGATTGTTCTTCAAACAGCTGTGTGGTTAAACGCTTGTAACTTCATAAAGAATGTCCGATTTGAATGATTTTTTTTACCATTTTATAGCTATTATTTTACTCTCTAACATTGTATTAATAACTCAAAATCGATTTTTTGCGACGAGTGACTGGTTTGGCTTGTCTTTGCCACAAATACTAAATATATCACACATTTTTTTACAATAAAATTGGTTTGGAAATAGATAATAAAACTAGGAATTATCAGTAAGTAATACAATATATTTTCATCAGCTAATTCTGAATTTTATGCCTAGCCTAGTAAACATTCCAATATATTATTTCCCACTGCTACATAATTTTATTCATTTCCATTAAGTTATTCAATCAACAATTGTAGATTATGGCTATTACACAATAGGCCTACAATTTGTTAATGTTACTGTATAATGGCTTATATAAACATTCGCCAGGATGCATGACATTTTGAATTATTTTTAAACTATGGCTTATAGAAAGTGAATACTGTAGTAAACAAAACATGTTTCCAATAAAACAACAAATATAACAGAAAAAGTATTATCTAAGAGCAGAAGTAAGTTGAAAAAATCAATCTTACTCTCTGAAACCCTGTCTAAAGAATATAATATAGAATATCAGTGTGTAATATTAATGTATTTGATAGATGGCCCCACAGATATAAAACTGTATCATGCATTATTTAGGGGTTTTTTATATACAGTAATATTTAACTGACTGATCATGGACCTGTTAATAAGATACAGTACATTATGTATAGGCCAATTATGACTTTGTCAGTATGAACAGGGTTATAAATATAACAGGTTCTATAGAATATATCCTAGGGGTTAAACCACTACAGTAACATATGGTCTAAAATCATCTATTTTGAATACCAAAATGAAATGCTATTTTTTAATGGTCAAATATTGTCAATTTTTATTATGTTCTGTTCTAAAATTCAGATTGAAAATGTGTTAAGTAATAGGAATATTTTTAATTCATATATTAAACTCTCCCTTTAAAGATAAAGTAATAGTTGGTAAATATTTGTATGGTTGGCAGATTTATAACTATTTTTAGCAATATATAATACTTTTTAAATCTTTTAAAGTAAACATCTTTGTTTCTTATCATTCTCAATATTCTCAGGAAGGGGTTCATTCTTCCCTAATATATACTAAACTAAAACTCTGTATGATAATGTTCACTTAATTTGATTTATAAAAAAGATCAATGTTCAATACAGAGCTGTGTGTCATCCGTTGTAATCACAGCATGTCGTATTCGAGAAATCAATCTGCAAATAGCGATATCACATTAAACGAAGATGAGAGTACCCTCTAGTGTCAAGTTAAACATTCCATCTACCTGCTCGTTTTACAAACGATATGAAATTCAAGTTCCATCTCTTTCTGAACCAGATACTGGCAATTATACGAAGGTTATTATATGTATCGGGTTGACAAGACATACAGTAATCCGCTGGTCTAGAATGGAAAATATTTACCATCGAAAGGTCTACCCAGCAATTAATTTTGAAATATCGGATGTTGAAAGTAATGGTTTTTATAAGACCTGCAGACAAAATAAATGTTTTGACGTATGGGGCTATGACAATAAAGTCCTTTGGATTCTGCCAGAACAAGAAATTTAGTTTTCTCAGGATATCCGATGCTTCGATAACAGACTTGCCAGCAATTGATACAAATAAACCGAAAAATCAAGTTACTATAGCTTACAGATGTACCTAGCAGGAGTAGGTAGTGTTTATAAAGGAGTAACAGGTTAATGAAAATTAAAGCTGCTCAGATGCCTGGCTTTTTGGGTTTGGTCTTTGTATTTCCACCTCCACTCTTTTTCGCTCCAAACATCATATTTGTGCGAATCTTTTTGCCACCAGATGAGCTAGAGGAACTTGTTGAATTAGCATTTCCCATCTTTAAGTTGTGTTTCTAAATTCAATCTGAAACAACAATGTTTAGAGAAAGAAATTATAAAATTGTTTATCTGCCAACAGAGCAATTGTCCTTATTATTAAACAGATTCTGAATCTGTTGCTCAAAATAATTATAATACTGTAATAATAACAATAATGTCAAGCATTTGTAGACCACCAGTATCTTTTCTCAAGGAACGCTCATGGCGTGTAAATAACATTCAGCTTTTTACGAATAATCAGAGGGCATTTTTAAAAAGTATTGAATAGTAGCAATGAAATAAAACAAAAGAAAATGAGAAAAAAAATAAAGCAATAAGATAAACCAAACACCAATGCATCATTCACTGCCACTTAAGGCACAACCGTGGCATATTCTGGAGTCTTTAATGGGGGAGGGGGAGCAAAGGTGGAGTCAGGAACACTCAATGATTAAGTGAGGGGTGCTAGGTCTCAAAATAAAGTGACTTTTAACTAGTAATTCAGCCTGATATTTTTGCTTCGGACTTAAAATGGAGGGGGGCCTAACTGGGGGGGGGGAGACCCCCCTAGATATTCCACTCTCTGGGCACACCCACTTAATGCGTTCATAACCAAACACCCACTGTCTACATTCTATCATACTGGAAATGATAAACACAAATCTCAAAATTAAGTCCTTATCATTTTTGACTGGCAAATTTGCATATTTTCTTGCTGCAGACAAATATCCCTTTCCACATCTTAAATTTCCAATTTACGTCTCCACCGTTGATTGCAATAATGAGTACTCTGCATGCCCTGATCAATCAACAATTTAAAAATGAACAATAAATTACATTATGTTGTAAATTTTAAAGATTTATAGCAGCCTGAATGCACTTATCTAATGGAGAGTTTCAATTTAAATTACATGTCAGTCTAAATGTAGATTTTAAGAACATCAATCATCATGTTCAGAAAAAATGAAATATATATTATAATTATCCAATAATATTAAAAAATAACAATAAATATATTCTACAGAAACCAATGGTGTATCGGTTAAAAGTTAGCGATGATTATTTTAATAATATTTCATTCTGATTAAACTCTTTTGAATCATAAATTATGGAGAGTGGTGGTGGCATTTTGAAAAAAGATTTGAACCCAGGACCCTGGAATCTGGTTCTGAATATAAGTATGGAAGAATTAGTTTATGATTAAATTGACAATTAAAAATGATTAGTAATTCCTCCACGATATAAGCTATATTTGCTATATTTAGTGAACTGAACATGGAACTGTCAAAGTCAGTAGGCCTATGTTATTACAGTACTTAGAAATGTCACAACTGAATTAAATCATAAAGTGATCGAAAGATACAGCATGCGTTATATCATCATAATATTTATTATTTTTTTCTTGATAAACTAGATTAAATTATTTGAACAGCAAGAAATAATATTTGTAATTGTGGTTTAATATGTTATCTATTGGCCCCCACAAAGATGTAATTGATAAAGGTCTACTGTATGAAGATAAATCAATTTTGTGGTTACAATATCTACAAGTTTAAATTTACATACAATTGCCTGTACAGAAGCCTACCAGAGTGTTCTCTATGTCCATTTGCAGAATTCCCACCTCACTATTATACTGCTGAGTTTAGTTCTGTTTGTTTTTAGTTATTAACTTAACTACCTGACTGGCCTGTTTTTATGTCCAAGTCTTGAATATGAATATGCTAATCACCCGAAGATTTTTCTATGGTGGTAATGGATATGTGCACATAACTTGATGAATATAAATGATCTGCCAACCCGGGGAGCTCATTTGCATATCAACCAAACAGAGGGGTGCCGCAGCCACTTCAAGACATGAGACACTTGCGCTACCTATTTTACTAAAAATTCTTATGGACTTGAACTACAGTACCATTTACAAAAATCGCACTGTGCTCTAAAAGACAACAGGAAAAAAGCCACTCAATAGTGCCAGAGAGGGGGCTATATTTAATGGTTCCCGGTCGCAAAAGTGTTCCGTCCGGTCGCGATCTTGTGGTTGTACCAAAGGTAGGCTTAGCATAGAGCTTACTAGCTTAGCACCCAGTCTAGCTTGAAATTCCCGCTAACATCGTGGGGAAAATCATGGCACTTTGACACAGGATAGGCCAAGGACTTCTACTAACAATTTCACCCCGGTTATTTCCCACACTTGTGCTACAAAGTCTTTGCAAGTATACCCCATAAATGCTGCAATTCCCCCCTGTTTTGCACACTTGTGCTACCAAGTTCTCGAAAATATACCCCATAAATGCGGCACCTCCCCGTATAGAAATATGTAAGAGTGAGCCTCCCGGGACTGCCAACCAGAAAATTGGTGAATGGTTACATCACAGAGTTGTACTGTAATTATCAAAATAATTATAACTCAATGATTGACATGTATTTGGCATATCAAATGAAATATTCATTGGGCACTTTTGGATCAAACTCCAAATGCCCTTCTGATATTGACCCAATCTTTCTATGAACCACCATAAACAATTTAAACTGAAATATGACACTAAGAAATGGTAATCCTAGTAGCTTTTAAATATGATATTTATGAAGTTTACTGGTAGTCATAAAAATATGTCTGTCTACATTGTGAACAATAAAATTAACTACAGGATATTTTAACAATAAAATGAAACTTTAAAAAATATAAACAACTTTTACAATTGAAAATGAAACTATTACTACCACTGTGATAATTAAAGTTAAATAAATATTTAAACCTCAACAGTAAACTGTTGAGGTACAAAGACAGAGTGTCATGTACCGTATTTATAGAAATTATGCAATCACAATTGTACTAATCATTACTGATGTAATCATCAGAATCATATGCTTAGCCAGCGAACCGTAAGGCCGTCTTTTGGACGGCCTACAATTATTTAGGACGGGCACTTTTACAGTGACGGCTTGACCTAATAGCTCGGCCTAGCCTAATTGGGCCTGGCCTACCTTTAGCAAATTCTTTATATTCTTCAAATCTATCGAATGTTACATTAAACTAAAGCTAAATATATTTACGTTTGATAATAACAACATTTATTGATTGAATGTACGTTGTTTTCGTACCATAACCGGTGGGGATTCCTAATGATGGGCGTGGCCTGCCCATCGGCTCAGTGCCACGCCCACTGGCTTCCATTTTGGATGGCTTATTTTGTTTTTCTGGCTAAACCCCTGATCAGAATGCTGTATAAGCACACAGGACTACAGTAGGGCTAGGTCTGAAAAACGAAGACAAGCCCTACTCTAGGCACAGAATACTTTAATTCTGTACCTACTGCAGGAGGTCTACATTAAAAAAAATACCAGCAAACTTAAGACCATATCTAAATGAATTTTATAGACTAATAATTCTTCTTCCTCATTTAAATAATATAATAGTTTGAATAGAATTTTAAAATATTTTTGTAGGAACAACAGGTGTCAAATTTTGTTTACAAAAAGCCGTACGTTATAAAATTCATTGTTTACGAAAACCTTCCATTATTCAAATGGAAACAGAGTTGTATACTTGAAAGGTCAGCGGGTTTTGGTATACAGTACTGTAGGTTTGCGAATCTCTTGGCGCATATGAATATGAAATCTGGAAAATTTAAATTGGTGCCATGACGAAATGTACGAAAGTTCACCAAACCATTTATTTGACTGTAGACACAACATTGCAATTGCAATAAAATGGTATTTTAAATACATGCTCAACACTTAACTTAGATTTATATCTGTCAGGTGCTTTAAACCCATTACTTCACTAAACTGTTATCTTGTTCAATTCATACTTGCGTGGTATGATTACTGAACAAAAATTGTGACCATTATATAGTACATAAAATTATAATTTTGAAATCATAATTTCATAATTTCAGTAGGGTGGAACTGTGGTTTGGTAAGTAAGGGTGCATACTTCAAATCTTAATTCAGTAGGTTCGATCTTTGAAAATTCCTGAATGAAAATTAACTCCACTATGCAAAACTTATAACGCATTTATTAATAAAAAAAATCAATACAAATTCGATCAACAGTGTCCTATTGACATTCAAAAAAAATTAAAATAATTTTTAATACAAAATTAATAATAATAATAATAATAATAATAATAATAATAATAATATGCGCTAAGTTGGACTTAAGGGGAATATCCTTTGTGTTATTTTCCCCCTAACGTTGTTTTTTTAATTGTTGTCTAATTTCTCCATTGTCTAAGTTCCCCTGTAGGTTTTAGCAATAATATAATAATATTAATAATAATAATAATAATAATAAACCAAATCGTTTCCCGCTGTGCAAACCGCTTCTATCAAAAAAATTAAAGTATTACCACCATGCCCTGCACATTAATGTAGGTAAGAAGATTATTATAAGCAACAGTTTAACTGTCTGAATATAGACAGCTTTCCTTTCAACATAATATACTTCACTTTTACCAAAAGCTGATTAAACAAGAAATAAATTTATACCGGATCTTGCATTATTCATGAGACTTTAAAACGTTTAAAAAACAGCTACATGGCTTTTACATATTTAGATGCTTTAATTTAAAGGATTATCGACGTAATCATAGAAAGTAGATAAATGTCACCTTTAAGAGAAAAATTCATTTTTTTGTCCCAGAACTCTGACGTGCCTCAAAGCCAGCCCAACCCTCTCGGTGTTTATCGTTTATCTATAATATGAATTTTACAAAGACATACTTTAGACAAGTTCAGAATGACACCCATTAGTTAACAGATTACAATATATATATGAATTTTGTTTAATAGCTTGAGTTCCATTATTCATGATTCGATCAATAAATCTACTGTACTGTGATGCCGTGAAAATGAATGAGGCAATGAGAAAGGCAGTTTGGCGCAACAGTATTCACGGTGGTTCTCTACCCTTTTGTCGGGTGTCCAAACTACATTCCGTCCATTCTCGGTCCGCACAGCTTGGATACCCCAGCTTGTACTATTGACAGGATTTAAAGTGGTTCAAATGTTACCCCTTACTACCAAGATGTGGCTAGTGCC